ATCCCAGGACCCTGGGATCATGACCTGAGCCGAAGGCAGACGCTTAACGACTGAGCCACCCAGGCGCCCCGAGTTTTATGACTTTTTTAAAAAAGTGACATGGTCAGTGGAAACTGAACCTAGATTTCCAAGTGTGGTACACTGAAGGCACTGGAATTCACTGCCGCCACTGTCATCAACATTATCATCATTCCATGTTTATCATCAATCCCGATTTATTAGGTATCAGACAAATTCAAATGGTAAAGGGGCACCTGGGTGACTCAGTTGGTTAAGCATCTGCCTTCTGCTCAGGTCATGATCTCAGGGTCCTGGGATTGAGCCCCGCTCAGGGGGGAGCCTGCTTCTCCCTCTCCCTCTGCCTGCCGTTCCCCCTGCTTGTGCTCTCTCTCTCCCTCTCTCTCTTCCAAATAAATCTTAAAAAAAAAAAAATTCAAATGGTACAGACCCTAATTTTTACTCTAAGATTGTTATGTTAGTAATACTATATATTTCTTACACATATAAAATGTCTGCTAAAAAGACATCCAATAGAAAATGGATAAATATTTACAGCACCTTATATCAGTGATGAGAGATTTTATATTATTTATAAAGACTTTAGTCTATAAAACATATATTTTAAGGGGGGGAAAAAAAAACACCTAATGAGCCAGTAAAGGTCGTGAATATAATTTTACCTCCTACATTTACTATGTATGTGCTATCATCATGGATGACTTTGATCTAGCTTTCTAGGAACTTCTTACAATTTTTTTAAATATATTTATTTTAGTTTTTCATTTACATTATAATTGTGTATACTCAACAATAAAGCTGAGTTAAAAAATTTTTGAGTGGATGGAGCTCAAAAACAAATCAAAATAGAAAGAACAGAGAAAACGTCAACAAATTAGAATAGAAGCAATCAGGATATGAATTAAATTGGTAATTTCTGGTCATTTCATGAAAATATGTTGTAAGAGACTAAAGAAAATTTCAAAAAGAAAAAAAAATCACAAGTCCACATGTAAGGATTATTTCTATAATGCTAGAAGTTGCTTAAATCTCTAACCTGGGCTGCTTAGTTTTCACCCTATGCCTTCTTAGCCAGCATTATCTACTCCTGTGACTTGAACCACTACTTAAACACTGTTAACTTCCAGAGTTCTCATGAACTTCAGATTCATAGACTAAAAATCTGTCCACAACTAGCCAGTCATGATAATTTGAAAATCAAAGAGTAAAGATGGTAGAGGATTGAAACATACTGAATAATGAAAAATCTGTAACTGTACAATGCTATTTAAAAAACAGAAGGACTGAAAACTTCATCTGTTGCCATTCAAGACTGCTATTTTAAATAATTCTTTACTTTATAAACTGGTAAAGGGAAGGATCAGGCATTTCCCTGATTTTTCAGTATGAAATGCATGATGATGGGTTAACTAAATAGTTCAGTTGATGAGGAAAAGCTCTACTTTATAAGAACAGCAGCTACACAATGTTGAATGACAGAATCTGAAAAGTGTCATTCTGAAGCCTCTAATGAAAATACTGATTCAGGCAAGGATTAATTTGTGTTTATAAGTAGATAAATGGTTGAACAGGAAAATACTGTTCCTAGAATAATAACACACTAGATTATGTCCTAGTGAAAAGTATTTCAAAGGAAGGATTAGACTGTTTATGCCTTTAATCAAGGGACCAATCTCAGCAACCGTACTGGTGGGCTAACCAGGTGTCACACATCTTCTGATGTAGTTTAATTCATGTTGCATTACATCACTAATGATGCATTCTAGTTCCAAATAATTAACCTGAATCATCAACCTTTTAGATAGAACTTCTGTTTACAGGAAATAGAAGGGATAACTAAACAACACAGCGAAGAGACAACCAGATTCATCCAGGGAGTGGGACATTCTTCAGGGCAATGGTCTGGTCTCTTAATAGGTCAACATCCTAATCAAGGGAGAAAGGATGGTCCATCCAAATGCCACACATGAATCTAGGTTGGAAACCCATAAGTACAAACCAGCTGTAAAGAATATTTTGGTGTCAAATGGAGATGTTTGGATATAATATGTGTATTACATGAGATGGAGATCCACTGAAATGGAAAAGTGGAAATCAACGACTGAAAAAAAAAGGGTAAGTTACAAAATAGCTTGTACAAAAGGATCTCAATCAGTAAAGAGAAAAATATGTACATTTTGCATAGAAAAAGTATGGAGGAATATGTACTAGGATAGTATAGTAAGATCTGGGTAGTAAGAATGCAATGTTTTAATTTTTAAATTTTTGCTTGCCAGTATTTTCTAATTATATTTATTAAACTTTATATAAATTTATATACTTATTAAATTTCATATATTTATTAAAGATATATAGCATGCCTGAAAGCTCTACCAGATGCTTCTAAGGTATCACAAACTTAACATGGCTGGTTACCTTAACATTAACATGTCAGTTTCTTCTAGAGTGTTCCTTATCTTAGTGAGTGCCATCAATTATTTGTTAGAAATCCTATCCTTACCAACTTCCCACATCTCTCTTCTGCAACTATCACATGTAACCAATCACCAAGTCTTGTTGATTTTACTGCTTAAAACTTGAAAATCCTCATATTTTCTACTCTTGACACTGCCATCATAGTTTCTTGCCTTAGTGCTTAACCATCTTGTTCCACAATCTGCCCTCTCCTTGTGTAATACTTCCCACTCTCTCCTCTCATGGTTTCCCACTGTCCTCAGGATAAAGTCCAAATGGCTTACTGTGCCTTGTAAGGCCTTCATCAACTGGCACGAGCATGTATGTCTCTGATATGTGTCCATTTTTTTGTACTTTAAGATACTGATTCACGGAGCAACCAACTCACTATAAACCTTTGTATTTTGCAGCCACATTGTTGAAGAGTCACAGAAACTCCTTGAGAAAAACCAAAGAGGTGTTGCCATTTGATTTGCAATGCTAAGATTTATAGTGAAAAACATTTTATTCTTTTAGCCCAGAACCACTTATGGAACAGTCCATTTTTTCTCCCCTAAAATGTAGTATCTCTATCATAAATCAAATTGCCATATACATGTGTATGTATTTCTGGGGTTTTTTATTCTCTTCCATTGGTCTATTTTTCTAATACTGTCCCAATGCCACACTAAATTACAGGTTGAGAAGAAATCTCTCCCCACTCCCCTCCACTTTCTCTTCTGAAACTGATGTTTTTGTTAAACAGATTTAGTTTTCACTGCTACAGACCAAAGCTTAAATTGCACTTATTTTTTTGCACCTATGGAGGAAATGTTATGGATTAGTTTCTATCCTTACACAGTTCTCTTTTGTTCCAAGGTCAATGACTGCATCTCAGTCTCAGAAGCAATACTGAAATAGCTTTAATAGGGAGGGCTGTGAAACAGTGGTAGTGAGGAAGGAAAACCTATTATCACAGTAAGAAAAATGTCTCTGGCATGTGGTCTGGTGGTGAATCAAGGCTGGTTTTAATTACACAATGGAAAACCCGTTACAATGTATTTCTGCTATACATTTATGTAGTGTGTATTAGTTGTGTGTGTCTGTTTTGATATCCTCGGTATTTCAGGACATTAAAATACCTAAGTTGGAATTTACATATTTACAAAATATGGCTCTAAATAACCTTAAATAAATCACCTTAAACTGAAACTACGAAAAGAGAATACTTTGGGAATACAGGGGACTTGGGAAGAAAAGTAACAGGTAAAATTTACCTGGAAGTGAGGCTCTTTGAGTATACCAACCAGTTCTGCCACGTTTTCATCCACATTTATTAAGGGAGTGATATCTTCAAGAATTTCATTGACTAATTCTAAGTTATTATCACTGACAGCTTCTAGTTTTGAATCTTCTAGCCTCTCGTGAGCCTGAAAAGATAACAGTATAATTAAAGTCATAACACATATTGTTTTGCTCCAGACCATGGTTTTCTTCTTTTCATAAAGAACACTTGAAAAGATACTACTTGAAAGTTTGATACATTGAAACCAAATTTAATATTCCAATCAGAGGCAATATATAGATTTTATAGTAAATGTTATCAAGCAATATAATAAATCTTGGCTTCTATTCCTATTCTAAAAGTCATGGAAAACTTGTTTTAATAACTAAACCATAAAAAAACTAAATAGGTCAGATGACAACTGAAAAAACACATTTCCTACCCAATAGAATTTCCTAATGACTTTCTGGTCTAGGCTCAAACTCTAGATGATACTGCTTATGCTTCATGAAAATAAATGATTATGCATAATAAAAATTAAAAAATAGGAATGTAATCATTATATGGACTGTCATTAAAAAATAATAAAAATCATTTGGGGAGCACCAAATCCTAAAGCTACCATTTTTCCAATTTTGAAAATCAGCAAAATAAGTCAATTCAGGGAAGTCAGCTCTTGAACTGGACCTTGAAGGACTGTTTGATTTCACTAGGGGGAGTGATCCCCTCGTGTCTCTTTATCTTAAGCCACTTTTTTTTTTTTTAAATCTCACCATCTTTTCCACGGGAAATGGACCATGAATCACACTGTCACAGGAAACAAGTAGCCCTAATTAGCCTTTAATAGTGGGAGTAAAGCAGAATTTTAAATTCAAACTGAAAATGAACACTAAGCAGTCTCCCTCTTTTAAGTGCTCTTTGTTTTTCTGATGAATGGTTGCTGTCTGATTTTGAAGGCAGGCAAAGCATAACTGTTAAGACTTAATGTATAAATGAAACCATGTAAGATGACAAATCTTGTATTTAATATTTTAAGATCCATTCTGTAAGTGCTCAGGAAAAACCCAAGTTTCAAGTAGTAATAGTATCAATTAAACTTTATCTGTACCTATAATACTCTAGCTGTTATGTCTACCATAGAGTGGATCCTTCAAAGACGAACAGTCTGATTTTTAAAATGCGATTTTTTTCATTTAAATGTATTTTTTCTAGGTGACTCACAAGAATGAAATAAGTGTTTAAGTGGAAGAGGGGGCTATATATTAAGCAACATTTTTAAGAAACACCTAAGAAAAAAATTTTAAGTCATATGAAATGACAGAAGAAATTATAACTGTTATTACACAAAGAAAAATGTCAAAAGACTAAATGTATTTAGAGGAAGGAGTTTCTATTACATTTTAGATAAGAAAAAAATTAGATAAGAAAAAAATTAAGATTAGAGAATGCTACAAAGAATGAAATGGGTAGGGAGACGAACCATAAGAGACTATGGACGCTGGAAAATAAACTAAGGGTTCTAGAGGGGAGGGCGGTGATGGGTATTAAAGAAGGCACGTTCTGCATGGAGCACTGGGTGTTCTATGCAAAGAATGAATCATGGAACACTATATCAAAAACTAATGAGGTAATGTATGGTGATTAACATAACATTAAAAAAAAAAAAAGAAACTACACTATCTTTCTACATTTAGCCAAGATTGCGTTTATATACCATTCTCTGCAAAGAGGGAAGCAGACATCATTTGTGAAAACCTTTGTTCAAAAAACAGGAAAAAGAGTGGTGTTAAAGGTACTAAAACAGAAAAGTTTTTCCTTTCTTTGGTCTTTTGACTTGTAATGTTTTTTATTTGTTACTTAATGTTCTTCTAAGTAAAAATGTTTCCTTTTAAAAAGAATGAAATGGGTAGATCTGTAACTTTCTGAAAGTTTAATATAAGCCTAATAAGGGTAAGATGATAAGGACACTCAACTTATATCATAGAATGATTATCACCATTGGAAAAAACCTAAAACAATGGACAAAACTAGCTATTAACTCTTACAAAACAAGCTAGAATTGCTTATTGCTTTAATACAAATATTTGCTGTTAACAAATATTTAATTTAGCACTGTTAAGCTTGCAATACTCTATTACTCTTATGGTAGTATAAGAAAGTTTAAGGAAAGAAAGGAAGTAAAGAAACAACATTTATTGAGGGCTTTTTGTGTATGTGTCTGGAACTATATTCTCAGTGCAGTGCGAGTGAGTGTGTGTATGTATTAAGCAAAGGTAGGTGTATTGTTATCTTCACCTTACAGACATAGATGCTGATGCAAAATAAGATAAAGTGATTTGCTTGAATCCACACTACTGATAAGTGGCAGAGTCAGGTAGTCTAATACCAAGGCTTGAATGCTTACCTACTAAAGCTTATGTGACTTCATCACTATACAGACAGCCACTGAAATATCATACTGTGGTTAATTATTCCATCTATTATATGATGCATTATTCTAACTCATTTAACTGTGAGATATGCTCTCATTGACTGCTGGTTGATTTGTTGCTTGTTAGCATGCTCTTCTAGTCCAGATGTATTATTAATTCTGTTCTACTGCATCTATCCACACAGTTATTTTCATCCTCCTGTGGTTCAGAATACCACCCATCCCTTCAACCTGCACCCCCTCTGCTCCAAGTAAGAGCTATAAATACCACCTGTTTCTCCAGGAAAAAGATAATGACTGCCTTACAATTTTCAGGTACTAGGTCAATATATTTTCTATAATATCCTATGGTCATGTAATATATCAATTCAATTCAAGACACTGGGACAAAGAGAAAGAAATGATCACTGACTTGAGAACTCTAATATAGCTCCCTTTGTTTCTATGTTCATCTACCTTATTGCTCCCAAACTGGGTGAGGACACATGGGAATGTGGAAAGACCCAACAGAAAGAGGAAGTCAAGTAGGAGGGCAAAATTATGTTATAAAAACAAACATACCCAAAGGTTTTTTCACATCAACTACATAGATTGGTGCTATAGTAGGAAAGAATCTCACTACACAATAAGAAATTCTCAGAAAAAAAAAAAGAGGCTTTTTAGTGAAACTGCAGCTATAATTATATTAACAGAGAAAGCCAATTTCTAAAATATAGTTGGGTTCTATTAAGATCAACTTTACTTTTCCCAAGAAAGCAAAAGCAGGTCCATATTTGTTAGTATGTAGATTTTTAAGCTCTAAGATACTGTGAAAGAAGTTGGGACCTCTATTCACTTTAAAGTCAGAATTTATTTAGTAGCTCTTAAGAGGCAAGTGTCATGGGGCACCTGGGTGGCTCAGTTTGTTAAGCAACTGCCTTCGGCTCAGGTCATGATCCTGGAGTCCCAGGATCGAGTCCCACATCGGGCTCCCTGCCTCTCCCTCTGACCCTCCCCACCTCATGCTCTCTCTTTCTCATTCTCTCTCTCAATAAATAAAATCTTTAAAAAAAAAAGAGGCAAGTGCCAACTTGAATTTAACTGGTAAGACCAAAAAAAAAGGTCAAAGGAAATACTGAAAATTGACCAGAAGGACAGATGAATAATAAGCTATTTGAATAAATGGGTCTTATTTCCTTTAAGAAAAGATACTATTAGAAAGCTAGCATAACTTAATAAAAATATATTCTACCTGCCACAAGTGGTTGAAAGAATATGCCATGACTGGCTTCGTAGAACACTTGGAGCTGATACAAATATGGCCTAGCCTTCTTGTATGTCCACTTCTGAGAATCCTATTTACCACTGCACCTTAGAAAAATGAACTGCAGAGAAGAAAAAAGTTCTTTCAGGACTTCTAGGTATTTCTTCTAGGCATAGTCCAACCATGCTTGCAAGCAAAAAAAAAAAAAAAAAGAAAGTTTAACAAGTTGTGGGCTATAACTAAAGTGACAAATACTATTATTTTATTATATCTAATACTATTATCATTATGTGTAATAACCCTGCCTTTCCTCCTTAAAAGGACCAAAACATCATAAATTTTGTTTCTATCTTTGAATATGGCTAAGTATGTGGTAGTTTCTCATTAAATGTTTCTTGAAAAAGCTAAGTAAACGGGAAATAAGTTTTGCTGTGGACAGAATCATCCCCTTCTATTCTAGAGACTTTAGGAAGAGAAAGATCAAGAGAAGCCCACAGTCAAAAATAAATAAGAATTTGAGCAGAAAATAGAAATGAGACAGGTAATAGAAAAGTCAATTTCTGGGCGCCTGGGTGGCTCAGATGGTTAAGCGTCTGCCTTCGGCTCAGGTCATGATCCCAGGGTCCTGGGATCGAGTCCCGCATCGGGCTCTCTGCTCCTTGGGAGCCTGCTTCTCCCTCTGCCTCTCTCTCTCTGTCTCTCATGAATAAATAAATAAAATCTTTAAAAAAAAAAAAAAAAAAAGAAAAGTCAATTTCTATTTTGCTTCTGCATACACTGTATCAAAGAGAATGAGCTTTGTTCTGAACAAAAAAAAATGGATGAAATAAGTATAAATAAATTAGAATTCTCTAATGAGTAAAGAACTTGTCAGAAATCTAGTTAACAAAAGGAGTTCAAATTCTTAGATTAGATAAATTATATATCGAAGTACTCAGGGAGCTTCTAAATAACATTGCCAATCCACTCTTAGAGTTATCTGTAGAAAAAGAGAACCACGCAGATACCAAAAAAAACTAGAAATGGGAATCTGTTATACTTTTTAAAATGAGAAAGACCTTTTTTTTTTTTTTTAGCCTGGCTATAACAATATTCAGAGAAAATATAAAAGAATACTTTTTATAATCTCTGAGTGGGAAAGACCTTTCTAACTTATGTTGCAAAATCTGGAAGCTATAAATTAAACAAAAAAATGCCCAATAAAATTAACTACATTTAAAATTTTAAATTTCTTCTTGTCAAAAATCAGCAAAGTCAAAATACAAATGACAAACTAGGATTTAAATAGTTACAAATCATATTGAAAGACAAAAGGCTAATTTTCTTATACATAAAGGACTTCTTTTACTTATTAGAGTGGGAGAGAGAGCACGCAAGCACTAGCAGGAGGAGGGAAGAGGGACAAGCACACTCCCTGGTAAGTGGGGAGCCTGATGTGGGGCTCGACCCCAGGATCCTGAGATCATGACCT